ACTTCAAATTATTTGTACTATTTTTTCATTTGTTGACATTTTTGTCACATCGAGTTTTTTTGCTAAATAGGGTTCCAATAAGATAGTTATTATGTAAATAGTCATTCAAGAAAGAGTGTTATAAATATAGTAGTATTTATAAATAACTTTTATATCCTTACAATCCTAATCATTATAACTGTTGTATCATTCGTAACCGTAATTCTTCCCTAAAAATATGGGCTTTGATTCTTAATAAAACAAACAAGTTTATTGATTTCTTTCTTTTATTCCTTCTTTTCTCTCTGGTTTAACATAAAATTAATTTTATGGCATATATAAGATTAAAACAATCCAACATCTTTCCTACATCTATAACCAAATTATAACAATTTTAAATATAAACCCCATTTTTTTTATAAAAAAAATGTATATATATTTGGTTATTTCCTTTTCCGTTCTTTATTTTTTGGGTTCATTACGAGAACGGTACGTGAACTTTGGAGGTTTAAGGTTTGAATTAAGTGATAAGAGGGAATGTTTATTATGTCATTAGCTTGGTTTCTAGCCTCATTTGAGGGGTAAGGCTGAATTTTTAAAAAAAATAAATAAATAAAAATAAATGAACTTTACCTGTTTCAAACAATATACGAACTTAACTTTGTATCAAAATCATACAAGAATTAAAGAATTTGTTTTTCATGCATATACAATTTAACTTATGTTTGTCTAAATTAACGGAACAATCCATTTGACAAACAGAGCATCAACCTAGTAATGATATGGCAGATAGTTTGCACGAAAGTTCTCAAAGTCATACATAAACTCACGGATTTGGTCATCATCCATACATAAATAGGTTTCTTTTATATTCAGTGATAAAATAGTTCTTATGACCGCTTATGCCTCGAATTGAGTTTAAATGAGACTTTTTGTATCCCTCCAAATTTAATACTTATTTTTATATTTTTTATAATTTTTTTCTACCGAAATATTTGAATATAATCAAAATGTTTTGATTCATTTTTAAATTGACTTTCAAATCACCTAACAATTATGTATAGTTGTACAAAAATTAGGTATTTAACTTTAAAATCCTTTGTTTTACTCTAACTTAAATATATTTAACAAAAGCTTATAATTTAGAACTTGATATAAAATATTTACTTAAAATATAGAGCGGAATAATGTCAATAAGTAACATTATAAAGTATTGTCAATTATTTTCAAAACCTTTTTAGCTATAACATTTTTTGTGTTTCCCAAGCGATAGGCCAACCGAACCATGATCAAGTATCCAGTACACAATCATTTGGTCATCTAAGAACTGGTAACAACCTCTAGTACACATTGCCACACATGAAATGCAAAATTGTGCCAGTGCACGCTTAGCAAGTAACAATATGCATGTATATAATTTATAACAAGGGCGGACCCATTTGAGGCCGGGTGGGGTCGGCCACCCCCACTCTATTTTCAAATTTTTTTATTTTTCTTGAGGTTTTCAAGTTTTTCAGGTTTTTTCCTATAATTTTTTAGTTTTGCCTCTTAATTTTTTTTGTTTCTCCCTCACTCAATTTTGATCCTGGGTCCGCCCCTGATTTATAATACTTCATCTCAATATGATTTCATTCTCAAAATTCATACATTTCACAATCTCAAACTATTCGTCTTTTAACTCTTTGAGCTTAAATCCTACTATAATGTACGTATGAGCTCAGATTGATGTCAGCCAATAACTCCACTTTTTTTCACTGACCTTAAACGTGAAATCCCCCTCCCCATTTAGAGACTTGAATGTAATAAAATAAAATCCTTTGTTTGTTCATTTTTTCCCTATAAAATATAGAAAATTACCTCTTAACCCTAAATGTTCTTAAAAACTCCTAAATATCCCAAGAAAATTTCCAAAAAATTCCTAAAAATCATGGAAAAATATAGGGTGTTACACTCACAGGTATGATTTCTTGTCCATAATAGACGAGAGTTATAATACTCACTTGTTACCACACCCTTAGTGGTTACCCTCATAGTTGCATTCTTTAAGAAGTCATGTAATAGATTGGTTTAGAATTATGTGAAATGATGTCTTTAAAAAAAGGGATTCGATAGCCTTATTAAGATTTGTTGAGTTACATATCTAGACAAATGGAATGAGCCCGCCATCATAATTATTATTATTTTGATAGCTAACATCACATAGAGTTTTATAGAGTGACACAATTATTCAAGGTTTATGATTATAACCATCTCTTGTTTATTAATTAATTGTTCCAAAAGCTCAATTTGATGAGAAGGGTTTATATTTTAATACAATTTGAGTATGAACAGATCATAAAACTACTGAAAAATAATTATGAAAAGGCACATTTTTATCTATGGACGGAAAATAAATAAGTAAGTCTATATATGATTTTGAAATAATATATAATGTTTATGTAATTAATCCTTCAACTGTATGCCACTCATTACAACGTAGATGTTACGTGCGTCACGTGAATTTTTATGTTAGTATTGATTATTAGAAGTTATTTATACATGGATGGAAAATGAAATTCATAAGTTCATGTATGACTTTGTAACCTTCCTTGTGTAGAAAATACTGATATATGAAATAAATGATAAATTTCACTAGATATTTCTAACATTGTGTGGCACACCATGTTCAAAACATACCATTTGTTGCACTCGTATTCTCAACATTATAAAATTGTGATTCCCATGTTGTCATATAATTAACAAAAGCTATTTATTTGAACGTTAAACGACCACATGATACTTACGTGATATCAAACAAAAAATGTAAATTTTTCTAAAAAATATTTTCTATATTTCAAGACAAACCAAACACTGATTTCAATTTTCGACTAGAATTCCAATTAGGGTAAAATTATTTAGTGTTCATGAAACTTATTCCCTTGCTTTGACTCTTCTCTAATATCACAAGAACATCACATGATAATTTAACATTCAAATAAACACCTTTTGGTTGCTAGAGATATGAATGTGTCATTTTAAATTGTTAGAGATATGAGTACAATAAATCGTATGCGGAGAAAATGAAAATTACACTTGTTAAAGATTGGGTCTCTGATAGAATTTACCCTACCCTGAAATAAATTTTATCTATACGTTAAAAATATAATTAAGATTTTAACTCTTCTCCTTTAAATTTATTAATAAAAATTTTAATTCTTGCCCTTTTAATTTTAAATAAAGTGATAATTGCTCCCGTTTGATTTTCAATTTTATAAAAATAAAAATGAAAATATAATCGTTATGGAATCCAAACAAGAGAGAGAAAGTCATATATGGTAATTTGGGGCCTGTTTGGGCCCGATTTTTTCACCCGAAAAATTAATTTTTTGATCGTTATTTCACTATTTCAATCGTCATATTTGACTTCTTCTCTGACAAGTGGATCCCACTTTTCTTCTAACGGTCAAAAAATTAATTCTCAAAATCACTCCCAAACAGATTCTTGATGTGATGAATAACAATCATATTTTTCAATTTTTAGGCCAAAGAATGAAAAAGCAGTGAAGGCACTTTATAGATACGGGTAACTTAGAAATTTGATGCTTTGCAGAAAGTGCATTACCTATTGGGCAACAACCCGGGCCCACATCAACGTCCATACAAATATTACAGGGTTTCTGAACTGACAGATACTCCCAGTTCCCAAACAAAAAGGCATTTTTTTTTTTCCCCTTCTAAAATTCTAATCACAACAAAGAATTAAAATAAGAATTCATCCACTGTACAACCAAGTATAGGCCAAATCAAATTGAAAATGAGTAATATATATATATATATATATATATATATAGAATACAGTTTGAATTTGAATTATAAAATAAAATTCAACAAATATTATTGAAGTCGGACCCAAATGATGTTTTTGATTATAGACGGATGAATAAAGAATCTATAGTTTAAAATTTGAATTTGAATTTGAAATTTTTTAAAATATATTTTCTTCAAAAATTTTGAATTTACTTGAAAATTATTTTATTGAAAAAAATGTGTGATATTGATGCCCCTATTTGAGCCGCGTTTTGGTAACAAAATGTATTTTGAAATAGTGATTTTATGAATAATGTGATTAAAAAAATAAATAAATAATTTCGATTTACATATAAAATTGTAAGGATGTGTGATTGAAAATAAGTTTTTGAAAAAAAAAATGGGGTCAAACATATTGAAATTGAACCCAAAATGATGTTTTCGAATTATTGATTGGTGAGTAATGCCTAGCTTCTATTTTGTGGAGATTATAATAAGATTTTTAGTATATTTTGATAAAGTTGATAAAATGTGTGATTGAAAAGTTGAAGATTTCACGAAATATGCAGTTAAAATTAATTGTTGACTCTAAATTAAATTTCAATTTAAATTTTCACCAAACAAGGGCTTAGGAAATTAGAGATTTGCTTTTCATGTTTAGTGAATAGTTGACACATCGAGGAAGCATAAAGACATTTCGAAAATCCACAAGTTTAAAATTAGATTAATACTATTTGTACAAATTAAAATACATATCGATAATGTGAAAGAGAGAAAAAGAAATTCAATTATATAATCCACGTCATCAATTGTACTAGTATTACTTTTAAAATTAGGATTAAGCTAATTGTACACATCTCTTGACAAATTGATGGCAAGAAAGTGTTTTAATCGTTGGATTAATTGTATGAGATGATATGTGAAATGTGGTATGAGATTGTATCAAATGTAAATTCGATAAACCAAGGTATAAATCAAAATGTACATATAGCAAGATTGTTGAAATTATAAAGAACACTACGTTTACCCGACCTTCCATCCTAGCACAGCCCACCCTTGTGACACTTTTTGAATTATAAACGCGTGTATTTGCATACCTCATAATGGTTTCATTTTTCAACAATATCCCACAAAAGGTTGAACCGTTTCAAACACACTTAAATTAGACGCAATACGCACTACTAATGCCAACTTCCCCACACTACAATTTTCATTTTGTCATCCGCAAAATAAAATAAAATAAAATAGTAGTAATATCAAAGAAATAGAGACAGTTAAAATTACAATAAAGTAACTCTTCAATTTAACTCCCTTAAGAGTAACATGCAGCAATTAAAATCATGGTCCATTGAAACAGTTGAACCGGCCCTAATTTTACCTAAACCGGTTCTTGCTCTCCGGGTCGCTAAATTTTCCTCTACTTTACCTCCTATAATTAAATTCTTCAAAAACTAGGAACGGCCGGCGCCGAAACGGGGGCGGCTTCCACTTCCTTTTTCTGCCGCATCTCCAGAACTTTCCGGTGGTTGTTGGAATGTAACTCGCTTGAGAAAGTGGGGCTACAAGCGGGTCTGTATTCGGGTAGGAGGCGGCCCGATTTATATCTCACTCCACATGCGTTACAAAGGGTCTTGGCACCGAGCGGACCGGCCCGCCACTGTGGGGTCTTGGTAACGCCACAATGGCTGCACCTCCTTGGTGCTCCAACACCGCCGACCGGTTCAGTTGGTTTCTTTTTCTGCTTCTTGAACGGAAGGTTTCCTAGAAAAGACTCGGCGGTCTGGTTCTGTCCCGGGCTTGCATAAACGAGACAAGGACTTGGAGCTGGGAACAACGTCGTTGAGGAGGTTGAAGATGAGGATGAAGACGACGTCTCCGGCGACCCCAGTGGCCAAATTCGTACCCCAGTCCTGGTTCGTTTCGTTCTGGCCTTGGTCTGAACCGGAGTGGTGAAACGGGGCTTCTCTGGAACTGAGATTTCCGGTTCAGACTGGTTCTCCGTCGGGTTCGGTGGCAACTTCCCGGTGAGAGAATATTCGGAGAATGACTCTTCCACAAAATGAGATAACCACTCTAAATTCTCCAAATCCTCCGCCTGCCATACAACATACCCCCTTTCTCAGTTTTCTTTCTTCGAATATAGCGTCCAAAACCGGTTAATTCAAAAAAAAAAAATATGCATAAAAATTGAAACTTGGTCTCACCGGAACGCTTAGTTCGCTGCAAGGAAGAGTCCCAAAATCCTCTTTTACAGAGGAAGCACTGTTATTGGCGTGACTTATATCGTTTACCGTTATTTGTTCATGCTTTTCCGGTTCATGTTTTTCCGGTTCTTCCTCCTCTGTCTCGGAAAAGCCATTGGAGAAATCGAGGAGGTCATCAACAAAGAGGTCATCACCAGAAACACCGCTTTGTGCACCATTAACCGCCAAAAAGTCATCAAAAAGCATGGTTTGAGGTGTGCTTTTCAACCCCATCTCCGGCCCAAAACCGCTCCTCAAAGGCCCTTGTGCGCAGTCCATGTCCTGTAACCAAAAATCCCACATGCAAATAAGAAAATGGTTAACAAAATCGAAGAAAGCAAGACAAAATTGGGGGAAATACCTGCAGAGAAGGTGAACAGGAAAGCAAATTAGGATTAGAAGAGTGGGAAAAAGTGTTGAATGAGGAGAGAAAAGGGTTGTGGTGTGTTCGGTAAAGCATTGAATGAGAGAGGTCCAAAGGAGAAATGAAGATAGAGAGTTGGGGTGTGGGGGTGAATTCTTCATGTGAGTGACCCAATAAACCGTATAAAAACTGGAAAAAGTGTCCGTTTCTTTTCTTCTTCTTCTCGCTAATGTATTGTAATGTGCAATCTCTTTCTTTTACTGCGTAAACCTTTTTTTCCCCCCTTATTTCTGACCTTTTTGGTTTTGTCCGCACCGTAATCTAATCCTTCCCGTCAAGTACCAACAGTCCACCACTGTAGTAAGTTAGTAACGTACAACTGCAGATTTTTAAATTTTGTTTAATGACAATTATTATGAGGTATGTTTATATTTAGCCCAATTTTTTTCTCTTTTTCTAAATTATTATTTTTTATATACGTTTTTAATTACACAAATTTTAAATATAATTATTTTGAACGCGGGGTCATAATTTTTTTTTTTATTTTAAACTTCTCAATACATTTCCTCAAAAAAATTAGTTTTCATAAAATCTATTTTTGAAAAATCTACGTCAATCAAACAAACTTTATTTACAATTCTCATTTTTAATAGTATATATATATTCTTAAATAACGTACAAATTTGTTTATAAATTGTTACTTTCTTTTATCCGGTGAAAACTACTCATCCTTTGGGGTATATTTTAGATTTTTTTAAGTCCATGTTTGGTCTTGATAAAAAAATAAATTTTTAGTAAATTTTGATATAAGTTGATATTGTATATGGTTAATTGTTGACTTTAACTTGAATTTTAATTGATTTTTAATTAAATCAAATAATGACTTAGATTTTAATTCAATTATGTTCTACATTTAATTTTTAAAATCTTATACGCTGTTGTATTTCCTCTGCACAAGACAATAGAATGTCGAATCAATACATGAGAGAAATGTCTGTTGACATGTGTATCAAATAGTTAAGATCTACTCTTAAATGATAGTGCTATGTAGTCATACTGAAATTGCATATGTGACGTTAGATGATAGATTAAACGAAAAGTGAAATTAAAGAATAATATTATATAGCCACACTGGGATTGTAACCCCGGTCTAGATGATACGAAATAATAGGTTAAATGAAAGGTGAAATTAAATGAATTATTCAATTCTACCTATCAAAATATTACATTAGCGCCAACTCGGGTTGCAATCCAATGGGGGCTAAATAGCATTACTTGAAATTAAATTGGTCATTTAATTTTATTTATCATTTAATGTCACATCAATGCCACCTAAACTGAGATTGCAATCCCAATAGGATTAAATAGCATTACATTAAATTGGATCCTAAGCATAGATAAATAATACACATTTCATTTGGTTAGTGGATGAAAGTATAGAATTTATAAGGGAGTATTAAAAACTTGGAACATGCTATTTGTACATAATGTAGTGTCCGTAATGGTGGAGAACCCACTTCTAATAAATTATATTTTATTCGAAGAGGGTGGATACCGTTATAGATAATCTAATGTATGTGTATCACCCTAAAAAATTTCTCCATTCAAAACCCTTGGAGCACTAAGGATGAGCCTTCATTTTCTCCCCATCTTCTATTCTCCGGCATAAAGGTTATGTCAATTTTAACTAGGTACATTTTCGAATTTATCGTCAAGAGGTTATTCAACATTCTAAACTCAACGATGACTACACATGCAAAGGTTGTCTTGTTGCGGGTCATAACTCGACCTCTTAGTCATGGGCCACCTATCATGCATGGGACTAGCCGTGCCAATGGAATCTCTCTTTTTTATTTTTTCTCATTTTTTTCTGTTTTTCATTGGGGAGAAATAATGTATAAATTACAGTATAATTTAGTATACAATTTGAAAATAGGATAAAAGTTGCGTGGCCCAAAAAATTATCTTCCTGTGGTCAATCACAAATGATAAAGAATGAATGGAAATTCATAATTAGGAATTTGGCCCTTTGCTTTGACTAATTTACCTGACTGACCTACCGCATTAATCGCCGCACTTAAAGGTAGTTCAGCATTTTTGGACCTTTCCCGCTCTTAATTTTCTAATTTAGCCATCAAATCTTCAATAACAGAGCAATAATTGTTTCCCTAACCCTTTTTTCACCTTTTAGGATGTTATTTATGGAGTTTACAGCTAGAAAGTTGATGCCAAATTAATTTTCATTTATTATTTTTATGTTATAAATTATTTATCAAAACAAATGAATTATGATACCTCGAGTGACTACAAGAAATGGGAGTAAGGTTATTTTTGGCAATTCATATTTTTAGTTGGATTCAAATTCAAATTTGAATCCCGGGGATCAATTTTCACCTGAATATTGATCTTTTTAGCTTCTGTTTTCTACGCTTATTATGTATTTGAAAGAGAGAAAAACTCTCTAATCACATAATATGTGTTATATACTCAAAATTCTCTTCTTTACACTATTAACTCCACAATCACCTTTCATAATTACTAATTTTTCCCTTCTCGTCAACAAGAGTGGCTTGTGTTTTGGTGCACCTATGCAAATCACAAAGGAGATATGGGTGCCTCTTTTACAATAGTGTGTCGAGGTATAGGTCCCCCTTATTTCTGACCTTTTTGGTTTTGTCCGCACCGTAATCTAATCCTTCCCATCAAGTACCAACAGTCCACCACTGTAGTAAGTTAGTAACGTACAACTGCAGATTTTTAAATTTTGTTTAATGACAATTATTATGAGGTATGTTTATATTTAGCCCAATTTTTTTCTCATTTTCTAAATTATTATTTTTTATATACGTTTTTAATTACACAAATTTTAAATATAATTATTTTGAACGCGGGGTCATAATTTTTTTTTTTTTTATTTTAAACTTCTCAATACATTTCCTCAAAAAAATTAGTTTTCATAAAATCTATTTTTGAAAAATCTACGTCAATCAAACAAACTTTATTTACAATTCTCATTTTTAATAGTATATATATATTCTTAAATAACGTACAAATTTGTTTATAAATTGTTACTTTCTTTTATCCGGTGAAAACTACTCATCCTTTGGGGTATATTTTAGATTTTTCTAAGTCCATGTTTGGTCTTGATAAAAAATAAATTTATAGTAAATTTTGATATAAGTTGGTGTTGTATATGATTAATTGTTGACTTTAACTTGAATTTTAATTGATTTTTAATTAAATCAAATAATGACTTAGATTTTAATCCAATTATGTTCTACATTTAATTTTTAAAATCTTATACGCTGTTGTATTTCCTCTGCACAAGACAATAGAATGTCGAACCAATACATGAGAGAAATGTCTGTTGACACGTGTATCAAATAGTTAAGATCTACTCTTAAATGATAGTGTTATGTAGTCATACTGAAATTGCATATGTGACGTTAGATGATAGATTAAACGAAAAGTGAAATTAAAAAATAATATTATATAGCCACACTGGGATTGTAACCCCGGTCTAGATGATACTAAATAATAGGTTAAATAAAAGGTGAGATTAAATGAATTATTTAATTCTACCTATCAAAATATTACATTAGCGCCACCTAGGGTTGCAATCCAATGGGGGCTAAATAGCATTACTTGAAATTAAACGGGTCATTTAATTTTATTTATGATTTAATGTCACATCAATACCACCTAAAGTGAGATTGCAATCCCAATAGGATTAAATAGCATTACATTAAATTGGATCCTAAGCATAGATAAATAATACGCATTTCATTTGGTTAGCGGATGAAAGTACAGAATTGATAAGGGAGTATTAAAAAATTGGAATATGCTATTTGTACATAATGTAGTGTCCGTAATGGTGGAGAACCCAGTTCTAATAAATTATATTTTATTCGAAGAGGGTGGATACCGTTATAGATAATCTGATGTATGTGTATCACCCTAAAAAATTTCTCCATTCAAAACCCTTGGAGCACTAAGGATGAGCCTTCATTTTCTCCCCATCTTCTACTCTCCGACATAAAGGTTATGTCAATTTTAACTAGGCACATTTTCGAATTTATCGTCGAGAGGTTATTCAACATTCTAAACTCAACGATGACTACACATGCAAAGGTTGTCTTGTTGCGGGTCATAACTCGACATCTTAGTCATGGGCCACCTATCATGCATGGGACTAGCCGTGCCAATGGAATCTCTCTTTTTTATTTTTTCTCATTTTTTTCTGTTTTTCATTGGGGAGAAATAATGTATAAATTACAATATAATTTAGTATACAATTTGAAAATAGGATAAAAGTTGCGTGGCCCAAAAAATTATCTTCCTGTGGTCAATCACAAATGACAAAGAATGAATGGAAATTCATAATTAGGAATTTGGCCCTTTGCTTTGACTAATTTACCTGACTGACCTACCGCATTAATCGCCGCACTTAAAGGTAGTTCAGCATTTTTGGACCTTTCCCGCTCTTAATTTTCTAATTTAGCCATCAAATCTTCAATAACAGAGCAATAATTGTTTCCCTAACCCTTTTTTCACCTTTTAGGATGTTATTTATGGAGTTTACAGCTAGAAAGTTGATGCCAAATTAATTTTCATTTATTATTTTTATGTTATAAATTATTTATCAAAACAAATGAATTATGATACCTCGAGTGACTACAAGAAATGGGAGTAAGGTTATTTTTGGCAATTCATATTTTTAGTTGGATTCAAATTCAAATTTGAATCCCGGGGATCAATTTTCACCTGAATATTGATCTTTTTAGCTTCTGTTTTCTACGCTTATTATGTATTTGAAAGAGAGAAAAACTCTCTAATCACATAATATGTGTTATATACTCAAAATTCTCTTCTTTACACTATTAACTCCACAATCACCTTTCATAATTACTAATTTTTCCCTTCTCGTCAACAAGAGTGGCTTGTGTTTTGGTGCACCTATGCAAATCACAAAGGAGATATGGGTGCCTCTTTTACAATAGTGTGTCGAGGTATAGGTAGAATTTGTGTTTGGTTTATAGATGTATTAGAAGATACTGTGATATGAACTAAAGTTTCCTAGAAATTATAAAGCTTTTCAATGATCACGGGTCGAGCTAAATTCGCCTAGTGTGTAAAGGAATTGCTCTCGTTGAGTTTGGGCCAAAAAAGGTAAATTTGTTGTGTTGCTATAGCTAAAATAAAGTTCAAGCATTAATGAGTAGACTATATTTGGAA